TAATTAGTATGTCTACAAGCGTCTATCTAGCACTAGACATTTTTATTTCAACAGAGTCGTTTGTTTGTGGAACAGTCTTCCTTCTCTCGAGCTCTCTCTCTCCTTTAATTCTCTCAAATATATTATTTACAATCACTTGTGGAATCACTTTTTAATTAATTTTGATAATGCTAATTTATGTACCTATCATTATGTCTGTCCTTGTCGAAATTGTCATTTAATTCATAACTACTAACTCTAATTATTTAATGGTTGCTGTACAAGTTGCAGCCAGCCTTTAACTGTTCTTTTGACATTGTTCTATAGTTCATGTCCTATGTTTTTACAGTTAAGAAATCCTTTATTATTATTATTATTATTATTATTATTATTATTATTATTATTATTATTATTATTATTATTATTATTATTATTAATTATACGGAGTACATAAAACGGAGAGTAAGTCTGATTAGTCATGGCTGAAGGAGGTGAGTCTCTTTATAAAGTGTATTAATCTTCTAGCACTGGCACTGTAGGTAAGACTGCAAAGGAAGTCTTCATAAAGACACTACCAAAGCTTATAAACACACTTGGAAAGGACCCACCTTTTACTGTAGTCACTGCTTCTTTATATGGCATGGGTCTGATTACAAAGCAGGAACTTGAGGCCATTAAGACCAAACAAGGTGTTGAAAGAGGTAGTAAAGTGGGTTTTACTCTAAGAGACAAGATTCATGATAGTGATGACCCTAATGCTTGTCTACTTGCCATATGTGAGATATTTGAATCTGATGACGTAAACAATGATATATTGAGGAAACATGGAGCAAGCATGAGAACAAGCATATCAAGTAAAACACATTCCATTAATATCCTTTCTAAATACTTTATTTTAATAGGTGGAACTGGAACAGCTGCTACACTTCAAGTTCCTTCATACCCTCCTCCAACTGTGGTATCTAGGACAAGCCCAAATATGTATAATATTTACATTAACTTATTCAGGTATAGCTGATTTAATGATTGTGCTAACTGTGTTAAGTCAAGCAATGTTTGGACCAGTTCATTGGGTAGTCTCGCCGCCCAGACCATTCAAATGACTGTAGGCTGGGGAATGGTCTGGGCAGCGAGACTATTCATTGGGCTGATTTAGGATTGTCTCTTGGTCTCCTTATGCCTACTCTTAATGTGATTGGTAGAACTAATGGAAATGCTAACGATTATCTCAAACTAACTCTTCAAAAGTGGTTGGAGAGAAGGGATAATGTTACAAGAACCACTTGGGACAACTTAATAAGAGCAGTGAAGAGTACTGGGGACATGGCAGCTGCTGAGAGGATACTAGGAATTCTCAAATCAAGTATACTATGATGCAAATACTATTTTTATCTTAGTTAATTTATTTTGTCTGACACTTGCACTCAACATGCACGTGCACTAGTAAGCTAGCACCTGTATCGTGTACTTATCAGGTACATCAAGTATTTTGGATGTACTTATCGTGTTCTGTGGTGCACTAGTGTAGCTACCTATTTCCTTGAATAAGGGCCTAGGCATTTATTGGTTCACAGAGGTAAAAATCACAATAAAATTTAAAAAGTGCCAAAACCCGGGCTCGAACCCGTGACTCCATGTTCTGATGACTGAGGGTGAACAATTTGGTTATTTGAACCACTCTAAAACTAAGAGCACATAATACTGGGTACAATATGTGTATCTATAGTGGTAATATCATAGATATTAGAGACTAAGTATACTACTATAGTATACTACTATATGTAGTATACTACTATCGAGAGTA